TCCTACAGCGTCTCCCATTAAAGTGACTCATAGGCAAGTGGTTATGGCTGGGCCCAAAGGGCAGGAAGCGCCGTACGCACAAGGGCTCCACTGACTCAGCGGCAGGAGACTGGGAAAACAGCCTGAAAACTCAAAACGGTCCCAGAGCTGCGGGGCCAGCGAGAGCCTCCCTCTGCCGGCCCTTCTCGCCTGCCATTCCTCCCCATCGGCTGATTTCCCAAAGCCACAGCGGAGCCAGGAGGGAATTCCCCGGGTTGTTAGAAAAGGAAGCAGGTCACTGCAGTCCCCCCTTGCATTTCAACTTTTTCGAGCTCAAGCAGCCAAGTGAGCYGGGCTGCTTCCAAGCTGCCACCCTACGGACAGGAGCTCATCCCCCTGCACTGAGCCCAGCCCTGCGCTCCATCCCAGCCCCTGCAAGGAGCTGCTGAAAAGGGTCTCTGGAAACCGAGGCTTTGCTTCATCTAAAAACTTTTTAGTTTGTTTCTTTTCAGAGCAAGCTTTTCAAAGGTAAGYAGCTGAATCCACTGACAGAGATAGGAGCTGTGGCTCAAACAGATGGGAGAAAACAACACTCCCTCCTCCCCCTGCTTTACATATGTGCAAACACGTGCAATGCAAATACTCATACCTGATGCAAGACCCTTGCTTACTTCCAGCTCTCCACGTGAGCACCTTGCTCCCACACTACACGTCTATATTTGCTATATTCCCTGCATCTAAAACCACACAAGACAGTTCGCAATGTGAGCAAAGCTCTSATTTCCTTGGAGAACAGAGCCAAAGTCTGCCCCAAAATTGCAAAGAGCCCAATTAAGCTGCAGCAGTATGAGGTCAGCAGCAGTACTGGTGACATTCTTTAAGCGCATTATTTTAAGCTCTTGTCTAAAYGCTGTCGGAGTTGGTGAGATATGAGTGTGTGCTGAAAGTTAGGCGCACGCTTAGGGTCTGAATACAGAACATCTGGGGACGTTCACAGGTACAAATGAAGCACCCCGAAGAGGAACCTTAGCTCCTCACGCCTGCAGGGAGAGGCTGACGCTCCCCAGAGCACTTCCAAGCACCCTAGATCCCTGGTGCTCCCTGGTACACTCGGASCTCGCTGGACCCTCTGCATTTTCCRGTCCTTGGGACAGCTCCCGCCGTGCACACAGCCCCGYGCAGCAGCTTCGCCCTCCGGGATCTGCACCCTGCGATGTCTYGGGTGCCCGAGCCGTCTGGGACAGCCCGGGGGGATAACGGGGCTTTGGGGCATGCCGTCCCCGGCACAAGAGCCGGGTGCCCCACGGGGGAGGCGCCGGAGGAGCCGTCTGGGCKGCACCAGGAGTTCGGGGCAGCGTGGGGCACCGGCACCGCGGTTCGGGGCAGCGCCGCGCGGAGCCCCCTGCCCAGGCGGACCCACCGGGACCGGACGGACCGAGCGCTCCCGGCCCGGAACTGACCCCGCGGCACCGGGTCGGGCCCTACGGAGCCGTCCCGTGTCAGAGCGGACCCACCGCACCGCGCTGAGCTCCCCCGGCCCGGAGTGGACCCCTCCGCATCGGGACGGGTGGTACCGAGCCCCCTCATCCCTGAGCGGACCGCACTGTGCCGGGCCGAGCCCCCTGACCCCGGGGCGCACCGGGCCGGGTCTTGCCGAGCCCCCCGATCCCGGAGCGGACCCACTGGGTCCTACAGAGCCCCCCCCGCCACACACACATCCCCGAGCGGACCCACCGTTCCGCACCGCTGCCTCCCACCCCGGGACAGACCCGCCGTGTGGGGCCGAGCCCTCCCGCCCCGCAAGGGTCCCCCCGCCCGGCCGCGCGGTCCCCCGCGGCCCGGAGCGCACCCCGCCCGCCGCGCCGACCTGTTGCGCGTGTCGCGTGCTCCCCGCTCGGGCCGTGTCGGTGTCGCCTAGAGGCCCCTGGCGCGGAGGAGCCAGGCGAGCGCGGCGGGCGTGAGCGCGCAGAGCAGCCCCACGCAGGCGGCCAGGCGGCGGGCGGCCG